GTCCTGTTAGCAGCGCTGTCCTGTTAATAGTGTGGTCCTGTTAGCAACGCGGTCTTGTTAGCAACGTGGTCCTGTTAACAACGCGGTCCTGTCAATAGTGTGGTCCTGTTGGCAACGCTGTCCTGTTAATAGTGTGGTCCTGTTAGCAACGCTGTCCTGTTAGCAACGCTGTCCTGTTAATAGTGTGGTCCTGTTAATAGCGTGGTCCTGTTAGCAGCATGATGATAAGAACGACTGCTGCAACGGATGATGGCTGCCCTCCAGAACCGGGCCCAGCAGACACAGAACATTCAAAGTTCCGTGTGGAACAGAACTGTTCCGTAGAGTTTGGTCCATGCAGATGGAGGATCATGGAGACGGCCGCCATGACAGGCCCGAGTCTGAGCCAGAGGTGAGAAAGGCGCCGGAAAGTGGAGTTCTGGTGGAACGAACCGAGCTGCTGATGGACCACGTAGGTCTCAGCAAATTCCCAGTGGACTGAAGAGGCTCGGAGAGCGGTGGGTTGTATCGAACCATCTTGCCGGACCCGTGCACTGTGCCACCCTCCGCGGTCCATCTCTCCTTCCTCCGCTCCTGACGCATTTATTCCAACTTCTAAACTTTTCCTTTTTTTTGGTCCATTATGTGATTTTAAAAGTAACGTCTTCACAAAAACATTTTCTTCTTCATTAATATTTCCAAGTACCTTCACATTCTGGTAAACCCGAGAAAACAAAAATGTGCAGAAAATTATTTTTTAGTTTGTTCGCAGGTCCAAACTGAAGAAGCAGATGTTCTTCTGGTCATCGTTTAGCAACTGGATCGGTCAAAACGAGAGATATGGCGTTTTCGCAGAAAAAAAAATAAAAAAATTTAAAATAACATTTTTGACGAAACAGATCTTAACGTATCACTTTGGGGAAACTATTCGTCAAGTTAAATATTTTGAAAAATATAAAAGTAACAAAACAAAAAGCGACAGCATCAATCTCTTTAATGAGCCGAACGCTTTTCTACAGGAACGGCTAAAATAACACAAATCATGCCAAAGTAGTAAAACTGCACATGATGTGCCGCTAAACGAATTCCTCCGACGTACCTGATATTTCAAAATGGAGTCCTCAAACCGTCGGACCTCGTAGTCCTCTGCATTATAATATTTTACCTGTTAGAGGAAAACAAATAAAACAACTAAGTTTGATATTTTAAAGTAGACTTTAACCTGTAAAAATAAAACAAACGGCAGAATTTTTATTTTTTATTACTTTCAGACCAATCTCAAAACTTCCCCTTCTTTCTAAAATCTTGTAGAAAATAGTTTTTATTCAATTAAATGAGTTTTTGAATGAAAATGGAATTTCTGAGCTCTTTCAGTCTGGTTTTAAACTGCACAGCACAAACAGTTATAGTGAGGGCTTGTAAGGACAAACTTTTAGCAAATGACCCTGGTCAGTTTGTGATCCTGGTACTCCTGGACCTTACCGCGGCTTTTCACACCGTTGACCACAGTATCGTTATATCCAGGTTAGAGCACTGGGTTGGCATCACAGATGCAACGTTAAGAGTGGTTCTGTTCTTATACGAGTGACAGCGGCTTTTGTTTTGTGTCAACGTTGGTAATATTTTATCTGCTTCAATACATCTTTCCTGCGGGGTTCCGCAAGGCTCGATTCTCGGAAGCCTTCTGTTTTCACTCTATTTGCTCCCTTTGGGGTCTATCCTGAGGAAACATGGTCTTTCATTACACTGCTATGCTGATGATTGTCAGATTTATATGCCCTTAAAACCCAATAGTTCATACACAGTTTGTTGTTAGTTATTTCTTATCTTAAATCTTATTATGGTTTTTCTTATACATTTTATTGTTGGATGTAACTGGGAGTGTGTACGTAATTTTCACTCCACCACATGTACCGCATTAATAATTTGATTATTTTTCTTTAATTACTGCCATTGATTTTATTATTAATATTATTTATTAAGTACTTTATTAACAGCTGATGTTTTCAAATGTGCTTTATAAATAAATTTGACTTGACTTTAGCCCCATTTGTCTTTAGGGCATCACAGAACACATTTACCACCTTTGTTTCCACTACTCTGCAACTGTTTACTGCCCATTAATTAGACTGCTTAAAATTTACAACTTCGGTCAAGGTCAACAAGAAACTACACACCCTTTCAGATTTATGGTTTTACTTATCAGGACATCTACACATGAGACTGCTCCGGTCCTTTCCAGGGCTTACAACGAGGTAAAAACAATCTTACACGAAGCAGAACTATAATAATAATAATAATAATAATATCACACATTTTGGACGCTTTAAACCAAAACTAAGGCCGAACGCAGAAGCACAGAATGGAAAACAGCAGTTTTAAACCACCTTTAGCAGCAAAAACATACGTTCTGTATATTCTTATCAGTGTTTCAACATCACTGGGGCAAAGCTTTGTTGTCTTCTACGCTACTTTCAGGAGCTTTGTTATTTTTCAGATGAGGTTTTGTACGTCGAAGCTGTGCTGTAAAAAAAAAAAAAAAAAAAAAGGTTTTCTTCTGGAAACAAACCTCAACAAGCCAGACGTGTTCAGCCTTTTTTCTGATTTTACTGCCATGAACTTCAACCTTGCAAACTTGACTCTCTTTTGGGTTTTACCAAGTATCTCTGATCATGGGGCTTGATAAGTCAAACGTTGGAATTAAATAGCAACACTTTCTGTTCTCATACGTGCACCACTACTGTATTTGTCGGCTTATAACTCAGTTTTTTGTATAATTTTCATGCCCTGCGACTTATACGCCAAAGCGACTTGTTTATGTTTTTTTCCCCTTATTTATAAACCAATTTTTGGCTGAGATATGACTGATTTCATTCATTCTGACTGAAAATATAACATTTTCAGCCGCTAGATAACACTCGAGTAGTATGGCATGCCGTTGTGTCATGTAACAGGTAAAAGTGGCTATTAATGACACAATCGGCTTGCCATAATTTTCAGCCATTAGATGACACTCGAGTAGTATGGCATGCCGTTGTGTCATGTAATAGGTAAAAGTGGTTATTATTGACACAATCGGCTTGCCATAGTAAACAAATAATTGCTTTTAAGTGCTACTCTTGTTAAATTCTTTTTAAAAAGTCCTCCCATGCACGCCCCCGTGGCCGCCATTTGGCAAACAATCGATTTTTGGCACAACACCGGCCCACATTTCCGGGTTGTCAGCGGTGACGCGTAATCGATGAAACTTATACGGCGAAGTGACATATTTATGGATTTTTATACTTTATTACACATATTTGGACTGATGCGACTTATAGGGCGGTGGAACATGTAAGGTGGAAAATACGATATTTATTGTATCATCAATTTAAAAAAAAGAGGTCAAGTCAAAGACTCTCGTATTAACATAAAACGGCAGCATAATCTGAGATTTTTTTTTCTATATCTCATGTTGGTTTTCAGGCTCAACCTTAATCTTAAGGGGTCCGACTGTGTCAGGACAATGAAATGCTTAGACAAAATGTCTGACGTACCGTCTCAAAGTTCAACAACGAGTCCACGGCCCTCGACTTGGCGGCGTTGTCCTGCAGGTTCATTTCTCGTCTGTACTTGGTTCTCCACTCCGTGATTATGATGGTCAAAGCTAAGGAGCATCAACAAGCCATCAGAACATTAATCAAGTTTATGCACATGGGTCAAGATAAATGAAGTGTTTCACAGCTGAGGTTCACCCCTTACTCAGATACACAGTCATGCAGACGAAGACAATAAGGCCGAACCAGGCGTTGAAATTTGTGCTGAAGTAGATGATGGAAATGACGATATCAGCGATGGTTGGAAAGATGCTGAACACTATGTAGCTGTAAGAAAAAAAAGTTGACTTATTTTATGATTAACTGGAAAACATGAAGGACCGAATACACACCCAGGTGGAACTATGAACAATTTTCACGATTAGCTTTAGTTTTGAGTCTTCTTTTATTATTTTAACTAACAAACAAAGAAATCCCTGTGACGTCGTACCTGAGCAGGCTGTTAATAGAGGTGGTTCCGCGGTCGATGCTTCTCAGCACATCGCCGGTTTTGCGTCCCAGATGCCAGCGCAGTGACAGTGAGTGCAGGTGGGCGAACAGGCGGACTTGAACCACTCGATTGGTGAACTGCTGCACCCGGATCCAGAGGAAAGTACGCAAGTTACTGACAAACCCAGAGGAACCTGGGAAAAAAAGTCAACAAAGAAACTGTCAAAAAAGAAAAATCATAATTTGTAGTAGTACAAGAGTACTGCATACAACACATTCAGGGTACTAGAGCCTATTCATTCAACCTTTACTTATACAAGTTAATCCCATTGAGTCTCGGGGACTCATTTACAAGAGAGACCTGAGACCAGCGTGACTTATAGTATGTGGCTACCAATCATTCCTAATAATGTAATTTCCAGTCTATAAGCTGCTTCTATTTTCACACGCTTTGAACCCCGCGGTGTTTACAATGTTGCAGCTAATTTATGGTTTTTTGGTTTTGGACGGGCTAAAGAGCTTCCTGCCACCAAAACATTTGGCCTCATCACACCCAGGCACTCAGAGCTGCCCAGTACACGTCTCTCTCCATATATACACACACACGTACAAAAGTATTATTAATATTTTCTTTATTTATTTTGTGGGCGTGGCTTATATTCGAATACACTCAATACTCCAGAGATTACGGTAATTAATTATACTATAAAAATCATAAACTAAACAGCCACTATTGCTAATCAGTGAGGATACATGTACTCTGTGGCAGCAGAACGTGGACTCAGTGATGCTAGAACACCAGCATTGATACATGAACACATTAAAATCTCAGGTCATTGTTTAATCAGTAGATCAGTGTTGGAGTCGGTCATTTTCCAGGTTTTCCATGATTTCCAGAGTCGCTGCGAACCCCGACGTTAAACGCACGCCCACAAATTATCATGCACCAATCGGTCAAGCTCGATTTGTGACCTTGACCTTGGAGGGCATGAAAAGTGTACGCCACACTCCACCTAGCGACGATGCACGTGTGCATCAGCTTTCGTTAAATTATCTTGTGTTGACCAGAAGTTATGGCTCGGACAATAGTACGTTTACGACTATACCACATAATGATCATAAAAATGGAGTTCCAAACGCTGATGGTGAAATGCATTTTTCAAGTAAAGCTGGGGATTTAATTTTAATTTCCTACCTGCACCTCCACCCTGCAGGAACTTGAGCACCACATACACGCCCACTGTGGTGGCTACAGTGTGCCAGCTGCTGCCACCGGTCAGATCATTCACTGAACGAAAGATTAAAAACACCTTTTAACATACGACACTTGACGTCTTCTATACCGAGACTGGCTTGTTGAAATTGAAGAGGACGCTTCACTCACCAATGTTTTTGTAGTAGATGGGTACAAAGACATTCACAGCCCTCTCAACCCCCAGCAGCCCCAAACAGAACAGGACCAGAAGCTGGAGGAAGATGCTGCCCCGCGGCCACATGTAGGGAAGGAGAAGGCGGACCTTCTTCCTGAAACCCTGCCAGGTGGACTGGTTCTGCTCCGTTCTTCCCAACAAGTTCTGACAAGAACAAACACGTTAAACATAAACTACGAGCAGATTGTAAGGACAAGTGTCAAGGATCAACTAATACCGCTCAACATTTATAGACTCTGCCCCATTTAGCAACATCAAAACACACAGGTTAAAACTAGTAATGCCAGGCTAAAGCAATTGAAAACAGATCGATGTGAACCGCACGCACGCCCCTACCTGTCCACCGTTTTCCACGTCGCGTTCGTCTTCGTTGATCAGCAGCAGGTAGGGTTTTCGAGGCAAGCCGGGCGCTCTGAGGCCGATGAAGAAGAGCAGAGCGGTGCAGACGTAGCGCAGCAGCCACAGAGCAAACTGCACCTGAGGGGTTCATATGATCCATATGAACATGGACAGTCATTTAACGCTCGTAAAACAGCCATTCATAGTCATTCAATGACTCATCGAAAGACAAATCCTGTGCTCCGGTCTGGGTGGTTACGGCACAGTTTATAGAGGAGCGGCTCCAAAGACACAACAGGTCGACAATGAAAGTTGATTTATGATGCTCGGGCTAGTTTTGCTGTGCGATTAACCGTCTCAGAAATTATTGCGATAAACGATAATATTGTTTGAAATCTGACAATAATTAGTAATTATTGTCAGATTTAAGAAGAAATGTCGGTTAATTTGTTTTGAGTGTAGTACCTTTTGTTGACCACCTGATGGCAGTATAAGTGTTTGAACTGAAGGATGGATAGTGAGGGAGCGAGCAGCGTGTCTCTTTAAGAAAAATGGGAGGGAGGCCCCTTGACGTGACATGGGCTAATCCAAAAACGCAATTTTAGACGGTTAAAATGGATTTTAAAAGAGAAAGGGAGGGGTCAGTGAAGAGCACCGGAGTCGAGTCATCCAGTGTCTTCAGTAGAAAGAGAGAGACGCGAAGAAACGATAAAGCTGATAAATGAAAATGAGGTCGATCAATTTCATTTATCATGCGATTAATTGATTTATCGTTTATCGCGACAGGCCTAGTTCAAACCAGATAAAAAATAACTTGCTTTCCTCACCTGCTGCCGGTCGTCCTCCAGCCCCCACCACCAGTGAGGACTGTACCAGGAGACGAAGGCCAAGTTCTCAGCCGAGAACGCCACGGCCCAGAACACCAGCAGGACGGCGCTGTGTCCCCTGCTCCGGTCCATCAGCAGGGCCCTCCGCCTCTCCACCCTGAGCAGAGCCAAAGCCCAGGCCCATCCCAGCGTGGAGAAGCAGCCGTACAGCACCACGTACCCCGGGAGCTCTCCGGCGCTGGAAGCCCTCCAGATCATCCCACCCAGGAACTGGAGCAGGAGGAGGGCGGAGAGGACCAGCTGGAGGCCGTAGAGGCGGGAGCGCGGGATGAACTTGGGCTCCATCGCCGTGCCGAACTTCTGGTAGAAGACGCAGTGGATGACGCCGAGGAGGAAGGAGACACTGAGCAGGATGGTGGGGACCAGGGTGAAGTAGAAGCAGGGGGAGATGCCTTCATCCAGCCAGGTGTGGGAGATGGAGGTGTTGAGCTCGCAGTAGCTCTGGATGAGCATGGCTGCAGCTGCATCAAACACAGTAAGAATCTTTAAAATCGGTTCTGATCAACATCTCAGCAGGTTTGTCACCGTTTCACAATATGCTGCGTCATGGCCACACAGGATGACTCAGCACTTTTTACAGCTTCAGCTTGAACAATCAGGAAAGTGGAGGACTTAAAAACAATTAAAGTGTCAACCCTTAAAAATGATCAAAGGCACTTTTAAAAATAAAAAAATATAGAATAAAAAGCTGTTTTGGATTTTTTTTTTTTAAACATAAAAATAAAAAAGGAGGAGTTAAAACTTTTGAAGGTTTGAGTACATATTTTAAAAAAGGCAAAAATAGTAAAATGACGCTTTAAACTTCAACATACGTCAAAAAAAAAAAAAAAAAACACCTAAATAAATAAATAAATAAGTAAATAAATAAATAAAACGCCGACAAGGTTACAGGTAACCGAATAGTAGAGTGCTGAAATTTGAGCAAGGAATGTAAATAATCTCAACAGCAACACGCAGACAAAAGACACGAACTTTAAGACATTTAACCTCTTGCGTTGTTGTTATTTTTATTTACCTTCCGTTAAAATCTGATAAATAAAAAGCCGCTCCGCGCAGAGACACGCAGTCCGTCAAGCTAGCAGTTAGCCGGCGTCTCTCGTCTCCTCAACTCGAACCAGAACCAGAACCAGAACCTAATATTTGTGTGTCTACATAACGTTCTGCTTCTCCTCCCATCAACAGAGCCCGGTTCCGCTCCCGAACCGACGTCCTTGTGGCGTTTAAACAGCGATCCATGACTCGGCAATCGACGCTTACGTAACGCGGCCTGACGACGTACGTCGTACGTCAGCACGCACAAGCGGACAAACCCGGAACTGACGCGTTCATTCATTCAACCACTGAACCTGGAGGATGAGAACATCTCAAACCTTAGCTGCTGCCATAAAGATTTTATGAAGGTATGTAAAACAGTCCCTTTAGCCTTGATTCAGTTAATTAAAAATATCATTATATATTCAAAGGTGACCGTTTCGATGCCCACATTAAAACTAAATAACTGTAGTTTAGTTGATCTCAATTATAATAATAAGATTATCAATGAATGCATGCGACAAAGGATTTACTATGATTATAACAAAGATTCATTCAAGAAACCTCCCAGTATAAATCATAAAACCACAATGACCTCTGCTCATTTGAAATTTGTCAAATGGCCTAAATCTCCTAAAGTGAAAGAAAACCATTTAAAAATAATAAATCAGAGTAGCCATGTTTCTGCACGGATTTAAATTTGAGGTGGATTTTGTGCGTCTTTTGTAAATCTGAAGATGAATCCCTTGAACATTTGTTTTTTTTTCATGTCAATACAAAGTTTCTGGACTGACATTACAAACTGGATTAATCTAAAACTTAACATTCCTCCCTTTGATGCTGATGCCATTTTATTTTATATGGATAATTTAAGCTCAGCTTACTCTGATGCTACAAATATAATCATCCTTATAGCAAAGTACCACATTCATTGTAGTAAGTGGAGGGATAATCAGCCCTCCTTCCTGTTTTATGAATGAATTCAAGTTGTACTATTCTTCATTAAGTAGATTAAAAAACTGGAAAACTGCTAGAACCATTTCACAACAGATATCTAAAAACTTGTGTTTCTCAGATCGTCTTGCTCTTTTTTTCATTTAATGTGTTTTTTATATGTATTTTTCAATTTTCATCATTTTGTAACCCCCCCAGCTTGTAAACTGTAGTTATGACACCCTTCACGAGTGTTTGTATATATCTTTCTCTTTTGTTGTGTTCTGTAGTTCTGTGTGTTTATTAATAAATAATAATTAAAAAAAAGTCTCGGACTCATTTACAAGAGCGACCTGCTTTTAACAAACAGATGAAGTACACGCAACAATAAATTGCCATGAAATGTATATAAAATAAAAAAATTAAAAAGTAGTGATATATAAAACAAAATAAAACCAAACTACATTATGAAACGGACAAAAAACAGGAACATTGGTTTTTGCATTGAATTTAAAAATGGTTTAAAATCCAATAAATAAACCAAAGTCAGCCAGATCATTTTGCAAGTTGTTCCAGGAAACGAGCAGAATAAGAGAAGATCTTTTTGTCTCGTTCAGTTGAGGGAACACTGCAGGTAATGATGTCCTGAGAGCGCACGCTGTAGCTGCACTCACGCACAGACATGTAGGAGGAGATGTATGAAGGCAGCAGACCAAGAAGTGATTTAAAGATGAAAATGTACCAGTGAGAGAGTCTGTGAAGTTAATGATGACCAGTTAACCAGTGAATACTGGGTGCAATGGTGAGTAGGGTAGTTACAGCCAGTTATGAATCTTAGTGCACTGTGATAGACAGCATCCAACATCTGCAGGGTTCTTGCATGAGCGTTCATGTAAATAATGTCACCGTAGTCAATGCAGGGAAGAAGTCACAGTTACAAGGCGTTTCCTAGAATTCAGAGTTAGACCGGATCTGTTTCTGAAAAAGAAACCCAGTTTAACTTTCAGTTTCTTTACCAAGTTTTCCACATGGAGCTTAAAAGAGAGATGCGAGTCGACCAAGATATCCAAATATTTATAGGAATCAACAAACTCAATCGGGACACCATTCGAAGATAAAATCAAAGAAAGAGCTGCTGGGACCGACTTCCTGTTTGAAAAAAAGCATCCCTTTGGTTTTGACGGCGTTTAGGACACGTTTGAGACGGAACAAGTCTGACTTGATGAAGTCGAAAGCAGATTGCAAAAGCTGGAAAACCATGGCAGTTGTTTTAGCTCGACTATAAACTACTGTGTCATCAGCATAGAAACGTAAGGCTGTATCAGGGATGCTCTGGCCTACATTATGTATGTAGATTGTAAAGAAGGTGTGTCCTAAGACTGAGCCTTGTGGTATACCATTACTGACTGTTAGATAATTAGAGAACCAACCAGTGGTGTGTTCTGATAAACCAGTTTCTGAGAGCTGATGACACAAGATGTTATGATCCACAGTGTCAAAAGTTTTAGACAAGTCTAAGAAAAGTGCAGCTCAATAATCCTTAGCGTCCAGTGCTTCAACATCATTGAAAACCTTCAGTGACCTTCATTCTTCTTCTTCAGCTGCTGCTTAATACCATATTATTTGACATTATTAGTGTGTAGCTTATATCTTAGATCCTTGTATACCGTTCCTTTTTATACTTTATATATTTTTTGCTATTGTTGGATGTAACAGGAATATGTGATGCGAATGACAATAAAGAACCTTCAACTTTCTTCTTCTTCCATCACATTAAATACTGGCTTCAAATGAATTAATCTAGAGTAAAGTTTCTCACTACTGTACATCTTTAAAGACATTTTTTTTTAATTCAAATGAACCAGCTTGCACCGCTGCAACATGGCCTCTAGGTGGCACCAAATACAAAGAAGGAAAATCAGAAAAGGCGTCTGATGACTTTCACAGGTGTTTTCATGAAGCCTTTCTGAGCAGGAGTCTGCAGGTGGAAATGGAGAAGCAGCTCACCTAATCTCATTTTATTAATAATCACAGTTTATTAATAATCACAGCTTATTAAAAATATCTGACGGCTCCATGATGACTGATGATATCCAGCAGCAGCAGAGCGTCACGTCCACTTAAAGAGGTCATTTCCAACACGTGGTCTCTATAAAGAAAACACCACCATCATCTCGAGGAGCTGAGAGGGTCCGGATTAAGCTCCGTTCCATTCAAGCTGTAAATTCAGGGTTTAGAGAGGAGGATCAAAAGCCGCCTGTCAAACCTGTCCTCTCTCTGAGGAGGAATAAATGACTCTTCAGGAAAAAGTGGATTTATTTGTCGCTCTGTGGGGGAATAAGATCTCCTGATGTTGATGGGAAGAACAACGAAGGAGCTCGTGTGGGCTCACACACAACATGGCAAAGAAAAAATCTTATCATAGAGCTTTCAAAGGGAATAAAGAGCTGCTAATCTGCTTCATCTCCTCGGTTCTTTTGTGAGTGGAAATGGACCCTCCGTCCGTCGCCCCGCTCTTTATGTGACGGCCCGTCCGTCACAAACCTCATCTCTCTCGTCCTTTGTGGAGCCCGTCACCTCCAGCCTCGGCCCTGGAGTTCTCTCGGAGCGTCTTTGTTCGCCTGACACATCTGGACGCCGAGAGGCGGGGGAGGTGGTGGACGCATGTGCCGATCCAGTGGCGCTCCGAGTGCTACAGCCAATCTTATTAGTACCGAGGGCGATCGATGGAGCTTCCACTGAAAGACGAGCTCAGATTAATACTCCAGCTGAGGGACGGCTCAGCTCAGGTCCTGCGTCTGGACTTTCTACCCGTGTCTTTTTTTTTTTAAAGACACGACTTTTAGCTCATCTGCTGAAGGTATAGTTCGCTCAGCCTGACTCTTCTTCTTTAGTCCTCCACGTCGTCGCGCTGCTGATTACAAGAGCTGGGCCTTCATCTGGTGACCTTTAGGACCAGTGCTGCCAGATCTCGTGACAGAAACAAGCAACCAGCTCTATGAAAACAAGCACAAAGTAAGCCCAACTGGCAACACAGCACATTGTGGAAAACGGTATAAACATACATTTATTATGACACTAGCAAAATTATGCTAAACACTTTGAATAACATACTTTTAAGCTCTGTGGACTCTGCGCAGGCCAGTCAAGTTCATCCACACCAGACTCTGCCATCCATGTCTTTATGGACCTTGCTTTGTGCACGGGTGCACAGTCATGTTGGAAGAGGAAGGGTCCAAACTGTTCCCACAAAGTTGGAATTGTCCAAAATGTCTTGGTATGCTGAAGCAGTCATTTCACTGGAACTAAGGGGCCAAGCCCAGCTCCTTAAAAACAACCCCACACCTTAATCCCCCTCCACCAAACTTAGACAAGTACCGTTCACCTGGCAACCAGCCAAACCCAGCCTCGTCCATCAGATTGCCAGATGGAGAACACGCCTCCACTGCTCTAGAGTCCAGAGGCGGCGTGCTTTGCGCCACTGCATCCGACGCTTTGCGTTGCCCTTGGTGATGTATGGTCTGGATGCAGCTGCTCGGCCATGGAAACCCATTCCATGAAGCTCTGCGCACTGTTCCTGAGCTAATCTGAAGGCCACGTGAAGTTTGGAGCTCTGTAGTGACTGACTCTGCAGAAAGTTGGCGACCTCTTCGCACTATGCACCGCTCCGTGGCTGAGTCGCCGTCGTTCCCAAACTCTTCCATTTCCTTATAATCCAGGTGACTGTGGAATATTTAGGAGCGAGGAAATTTCACGACTGGGTTTGTTGCATAGGTGGCATCCTCTCAGTTCCACGCTGGAGCTCACTGAGCTCCCGAGAGCGACCCGTTCGTTCACAAATGTTTGTAAAAACAGTCTGCATGCCTAGCTGCTTCATTTTATACACCTGTGGCCATGGAAGTGATTGGAACACCTGATTCTGATCATTTGGATGGACGAGCAAATACTTTAGGCAATGTAGCGTATAAATATATATATAAACACTAAAATAAACCACTATTTACTACTTGTACTACTTGTACTACTATTCCTACTTCGTGGTTTTTCACTTAAGGTACGGATCCCCCGCAATAAACGAGGGACTACTGTAAACCTAAATAGGAGATTTAACCTTCATTTTGTATTTATAGGTTGCAACTGAATGCATCACAAACCTTCTGAGCAACTAGACATGTTTGCGTCTAATAAAATTGTAACTGAGCAAAGTAGAAGTTGCGTAACTACCAAGATGAAGCGCTTTTCTCACTGCAAGACTCACGTTCTCGGCTTGAAGTCTAAGCCAGCTGAAGGTGCTGACGGAC